CCCACCCAGCCTCCAGGAAGGCCGCCCTCTCCCACCCAGCCTCCAGGAAGGCCGCCCTCTCCCACCCAGCCTCCAGGAAGGCCGCCTTCCCCCACCCAGCCTCCAGCAAGGCCGCCCTCTCGGACTCAGCCTCCAGGAAGGCTGCCTTCCCCCACCCAGCCTCCAGCAAGGCTGCCTTCTCCGACCCAGCCTCCAGGAAGGCCGCCTTCTCCCACCCAGCCTCCAGGAAGGCCGCCTTCCCCCACCCAGCCTCCAGGAAGGCCGCCTTCCCCCACCCAGCCTCCAGGAAGGCCGCCTTCCCCCACCCAGCCTCCAGGAAGGCCGCCCTCCAGGTCTCTTTCGCTTGGTTCAAAATTCAGAACAGATCCAAGGGCACGTGTGGTTTCTCACACTCCACATCCCAATAGTTAGGACAAATGTTAACTTTTCTAGACATAACCCCACTAGACCATAAAGACTGGGTGTCATACAGCAGCTTTGCTCTTTCAGTTTCCCCGCTTGAGTGCAGAGTTATGATTTGTTAAGTTAAGGAAGACGACAGACTTTGAAAACCATTTAAATTTTTCATCAACTCTGGCTCCTCTTCGGGCGATCAGCTCCCTCATTTATAAACAGGGGTGAGCTAGGAGAGACACTGTCTTTCTGCTCTGATGTTTGGGGATCTGCGTCCCTCTTCACCTCCTGCCTTATTGCTGCTGTGTCCCCAGCACCCTGGCCACACCCAGGACATCCTTGTCGATGACACAAGCAACCCGGAGCTCCCTCTGTCCCCTCTTACAGACAGGACCCAAGCACACCTCCCCAGGCAAGAGGCAGAAAGAAGGCCAGCGAGGCAAAGGACGCTCATAAAAGCAACAAACAGCCCGTCCTTACTTGAGGCCCCTCTTCAATGCTTCAAAGATCTTCTTCACTTGCTGAGGCTTGGGGTCCAGGCAGACAGGGCCCTTCCGCAGCGTGCCGTACATCCTGGAGGGTTTTGCCGGCATTCGAGACCTCACGGAGTTCCTGTTGATGGATTTCCTGTGGAAAGGGATGGGATGGAGAGGAGGAGAGGGGTCAGAGCGGGGTCTGGACAAAGCCCTCCCCAGGGGCAGGCACTTTGGGAACAGTGGCCAGAACCCCAGGCTGAGTCCCACCCCATGGCCACATGCTGCATAGTCTCAGAGGCATTGCTGAGACTCTCTGGGCCTCAGTTTGCTCATCTGTAAAATGAGGGGACCGGATTTGGGGATTAAAAATAATAATAATAAACACCTGATGTCAGAAATTAATTTACAGTGAAAATAAAATGAAACAGACCAAATGCCAATACTCTCTGACCAGCATGTTTGGTTTGCAGGCAAAGCAACGTGGGAGGCCAAATTGTAGCCCCAGGGTTTACTACAGCGGGGTGCCTGTTGGCTTTACCTGCCCCTCCCCCATCCCCCCGTTAACTGCACCTCAATTTTCCTCTGGAGCAGCTCCCCGACCCTTCTCTTCATACATGTCGTTTTTTGGGGGAAGGGGAGAGGTGGCCTGACAAGTCACCACACACACACACACACACACACACACACACACGCACACACACACGGACAGACATATACACGGGCATTCTGAGGTAAACCACATCCTAGGCCTAGGATAGTCAACATATTACACTCTCATAGCCCAGGGAGAGACGCGTGACCCCAGTCTGGCAGTAATCAGCCAGGAGCTGGGTTCAGAATCCACAGGAGGCAGTTTGTTTCCACTGGCATTGCTAAACTGGGGGGACATACACCTGGAGCTTCTAGCGGCCACCTGTGCCACTGTGTAGGGAGAATAAAAGTCCACACAGAGGGAAGCAGAGCAGCAGAGGTGGCAGTCGGACTCTCATGGATTGAACTGTGTCCCCCAAAAATACCTGTCAACTTGGCTGGGTCATGATTCCCAGTATTGTATGATTGTGAATCATTTTGTAATCTGATGTGATTTCCTTACGTGTTGTAAACTCTATCACTATGATGTAATAAGATGGATTAGTGGCAGTTATACTGATAAGGTTTACAAGATTAGATAGTGTCTTAAGCCAATCTCTTCTGAGATATAAAAGAGAGAAGCGAGCAGAGACACATGGGAACCTCATACCACCAAGAAAGCAGTGCCGGGAGCAGAGTGCGTCCTTTGGACCTGAGGTTCCTGCACTGAGATGCTCCCAGACCAAGGGAAGACTGATGCATGACAAGGACCTTCCTCCAGAGCTGACAAAGAAAGCCTTCCCCTGGAGCCGATGCCCTGAATTTGGACTTGGAGCCTACTAGACTGTAAGAGAATAAACTTCTCTTTGTTAAAGCCATTTCTCTTATAGCAGCACCAGATGCCTAAGACACAGACCAAATCCATATGACAATAGTTCCTGGATCCAGCTATGCCTGAAGCTAGCATGCAGATGGACTTCTCCCTTACATGAGTCAGTTGATTCTCTTTTGCTTAAGCCACTTGGAGTTGGGTGTGTGGACTGGATAACTAAGAACTCATGTCTCTCAGCAGTGACGGCTGGGTCCCTCGGCCCTTTAGTGCTGTCTTGGGGAATTCACCATGTCAGCTTCACTGGGGAGATGTCCTCCTGCTGAAGAGACCCCGCTCCGCAGCTCTGGGAACCCTTGAGTCTACTGCACTTTCGAAGTCTAAAACTAAGGCACAGAATTCATTCATTCCAACAAAACTCACAGAGCCTGGCTTTCTCTGAGTCAGGCCCTGTGAAGGGAGCCATGGGGCCTGAGTCTTGCCCTCAAGGGCCCACAATTCACAGGGAGAGGTGGAAGAGGCACAGCTCCAGCCCCCGCGAGAAGGACCACTGGGCCAGTCCCACCCCAGTCCCCAAGAGACTCGGGCAGCAGCCTGGCTGCACTTCCAGCTGAGCCAGATGCTATACATTCCACCACAGACACAGACACGGCTGTTTACTCCCGAGAGATGAGTCGTCCCAGCCACCCCTGCTGACAGGGACCAAGTCCCAAGACCAGTGGTCCCCTGACATGGCTGCACAGCTGAATCACAAACCAAACACCAAAATACAGATTCCCAGGCACTGCCCGGGCATTTGGAGAGCTGGGTCCAAGAGGATACTGAAGCCCAGGAAGACATGGAACCCCTCCCTGAGCACTTAGCACCTCACCAAGCTGGGAAGCCACACCACTGGAGTCTACAACACAAGTTCTGGATCAGCCACCCATGTTCAAATCCCAGCCCCACAGATCAGAGGCACTTAACGCACGTGAGCCTCAGTCTCCGCATCGGTAAAAAAGGGGACAGTAAGAGTGCCTGCTTCGTGGAGTTGTCATGAGATATTCATTCAACGAATATTTACCAAGCACCTACTGTGTGCCAGCCACCATTCTAGGGGCTGGGGACAGAGCAGTGGCCCAAACAGCCAGCCCCCCTACCCTTGTGAGCTGAGATGCCAGATGGGGAGAGTGGTAACAAGCACAAGCTCGGAGCCAAATGCTGGGATCGGTATCGGGCTCCACCATTTACATGCTGTGTGGCCCTGGGTAAGTTACTGAACCTCTCTGTGCCTCAGTTTTCTCATCTGTAAAATGGAGGTGAGGGAGAGAGAGGCACAGGGTTGCTGGAAGGATAATGTAAGTTAGTACGTGTAAAGGGCTCAGAGAAGCGGAGCACAGAGTAAGTGCTGCATGTGTGTTTAAGTTAAATAAGGAAGAAAGCGTTATCACAGACAGCGCCAAGCGCGGAGGAAAAAGGCAAGGCAAGCAGATGGAGGCAGGGGCATGCGCATGACATGAAGCAGGGGGACAGGAAGGCTGCTCAGCCAGGTGGTGTTTGAGCACAGGCTGTACACGCAACGCCCTTGGCACATGCCTGGTGCAGCCCCACATGCAATCTGCGCCCCCAGCTGTGACTGTCAGACATACTTTACCTACCACATGACACTTCAGAAGCCCCAGAAAAGGTTCTGCTTCCTCCTCCCCTCGCCCTCCCCGAGGCCACACGTGTCACCCACCTCTCAGACGGCCCTCCACAGTTACCCTCTCCAGGGCCGCAGAGAGGGGAGGGGCTGTAGCCTCGGGGAGAGCGGGGTCCCTGATGGGCTGGGGTCCCGGCAGGTGGGCGCAGGCAGGCAGGTGGGGTGGGTAGATGCTCGCCTGCCGGTGGCTCCCCGAGGCCCACAGTCCCAGGCAGGTGCACACCCCCGACCCGGCCCCCTCCCATCCCCCTGGAGACCTCCGGGCCCTCCTGCTGCGCTGTACTTGGTGGCGCCTGCTCCAGAGAAGCTCTGAGCCCAGTGTTCCTGGTCTGAGGCTCAACAAGGCAGGTGTGGCAGCCTGGGGATGGCGAAATCAGGCTGTGTGCCTGGCCCTGGTGTCACCGCAGCCAGCAGGGAGCAGCCTCCGGGGGTGGATGTCTCAGCAGCTCTGGGCGGGCTCGGTAAATATTAAACAGCCCCCGGCACACCAGACAAGCTTCCAGACGGGCACATGCCACCCAGCCCCCACGTGAGGCCCTGTTGCCTTGGTGCCTGGCCACCGAGAATCAGGATCTGCAGCCAGACAACGGGGCTCAAGTCCGCATCTGCCAGCTGCCCCGGGCTCCAGGCTGTAGGCTCCAGGCTCCAAGCTGGGGCGGAGCAGTGACAGGGCCTGCCCTCACCTTCAGGTGAGGACCTGCGGCAGCAACATGGTGATCTCACCTTTTATCCTGGCGTCTGGTGCAGTGAGGACAAACACGCATCCGGCACTAAAAGTTCAAGCTTTCTATGAACCTACCATCTACTCCCTTTACAAATCCATCAAGACTGCCCCCTTTTTACAGATGAGGAAACAGGTTAAATGACTTGCTGCCTGGCTCCCAAGTCTGTGCCCTCGGCTACCTCACGTGGCAGGATGTGGTCTGAGCCTCCTCTGCCTGAAATCGAGGGCTGCTACTTGGTTTTCACGCCCACCCTTCCGCACTGTCCCAACAGAGGCATTCCCAGGGCAGTGGGGACACCACCCAGGCTCGCCGGGGTCCCTGGTTCGGGAAGTACCTGACAGCCTAGGGAAGGAGAGACCTGGCTGGGGAGTGACAGGAAAGGGGTTAAGGGCAGCCTGCCTGTCATTCTGGGCAGGATTAGACAGAGCCAGGGCCCTGCCCAGCCAGGGTCAAATGGGGAGCACCTTCCCCTTTCTTCCCCATTCCTCCACACTACCCGTGCTCAGGGCCTCTCCGTGCCTCAAATCCAGCTCTTGGGAAATGGCCTTATAAAGCAGTCATTCATGCCTTCACGTGAAATTCCCCCACCGGGTTACTTCCTCCAGGTAAATTCTCTGAATAAAAAGCCCTGCCCAGAGTCAAGGGATTTGGGTCCAGGGAGGAGGAGGGCAGTCGAGGGACAGAGGAGGCATTGGCCTGCCCCATCTGAGTGGAGCCCTGCTCTCCTGTCTGGGTTGTTTTGCCTGACCTGCCCTAGACGCTGATGCCTTGGCAATGGGCTGTTTTGACCTGGTTGGGTTACCTGGGAAATAAGGCCAGAAGGTGAGGCCTGAAACCCAATCCAGGCCATCCAGCCAGGGAGCCAAAGGTCCCCACCACCGGGAGCCGGTCAGAGACAGGAGGTTAAAAATAGACGTGTTTCTTCCCTGTTGTCTTGGGCAGCTTCTGCCTCACCTGTGGACGAGGGGACTGTAGGGGAACGAGGCCACATGGTGGCTGCGCAGAGGCCTCAGGACCGGCCCAGCCAGGCATTCTCCTAATTCCTCAGGTGGGGAGCCCCTGAGGGACCCAGGATATTTACAACCATCAGGGCCATCGTTCCTGAACTTGACGTGGACTTTGCAGGACCTGATTCTTGCCCTGGCTGTTGGCTGATGAGTCCGGCCGTCAAGGGGCAGGATCACCTCTGCCCCTGTCTTCTAGCCCAGAGTGCTGACCTCAGAATTGCAGGAGGGAGGCAGGGAGAGGCAGGGGCCCGACTCTGAGCTGGAGAGGACATTTCCTATGGATGCAGGCAGTTCAGAGGCCCCAAAGGCCTGGCTGCAGGACAGCTGCAGGTAGGACTAGCTACATAACCTGCGGGACCTTGCTTGATGGTCAGAGCAGAGCACTGAATAAGCACGTGGCCCTTCTGAGTGAGTGCCCAGGTCACATGCCTGTGACGTCAGCCCTAGCTGCAGGGTCCGAAAACCCTCCGCTCCTGCCAGACACCAGGCAAAGTCCCTGCAGTGCTTCTGTGTGAACTAGAAAAAGGCACCCCTCCCATGATGGACCAGCTCCCCGCCAGCCCACACAGCTTGGAAGGGTTACGTGGCTGGATCCTCTCCTCAACTGGGTGACCTGCACAACTGCACAGAGCAGCCCCGATTAGGGACCCCAAGGGGAGGGGGACCCAGATGAAGCCCAGGAAGAAGCAGCTCAAAAAGCATTAAGCCGAGAAATGGCACCAGTCCCAGCTGGTTGAAGCTTACCCCTCCTCTTCTCTCAGGCCTCAGCTTAAATGTCCTCTGTCCCACCCCATTGTTTGATTTCCTTTGCAGCGCTCGCCACCAGCACTATATAGTGACGACTGTTTGCTTATGGTTTGCTGCCCCCACAGGTCTGCAGCCCTGGTGGGTGGCTGGGGTTGGTCATGTTCACTGCTGTGGCCCTGAGCCTGGAACAAGGCTGGGGCAGAGGAGGCACTCTACAAATGTTTGTGGGATGAATCAGGGCTTCCTAAGGGTGCTTCCAGCTGGACCACTGCAGGAGTTCATCCTCAGCTGCCGCCTCTTCCCGGCACACCTCAGACCCAGCACGAGGTGACCATGCCAGGAGAGCTGACCACTGGCCAGCATCCTGGGCAGGTCTGTGCGCAACCATGGGACTCTGGGGAAGGGCTCCAGGAGCAGGTCGCGGAGGGCCTGGCTGGGTCTGGGGCCTGGGGGCCCTCCCTAAGGACATGGCATTGAAGCCAAGGCTGGAGGAACATTAAACAGGAGCTGGGCAGGGGAAGAGGAGGGGGAAGCACGTCCCAGGTGGATGGGACGGGAAAGCCTAGAGCCCAGGGTGAAGGGTGAGGCCCCGCTGGCCATCACAGGCCCAGGGAGGAGCTTGAATTGTATTCTGAGTGGGTTAAGAACCCCTGCAGGGTTTCAAACGGGTGTGGCCTGATGGGAACTGGTTGTTGACTGACTCACTGCCCTGGCCTGCCTGCTGGGGACCCCCGCCTGACCATCCCATCCACTCAGACAGGCAGATGTTTGGGTCCCCTCAGGATGCCGGCCTGAAAAGCTGTCCCACCCCTAAGCCCTGACAGCTGGAGGCAGCTCCCCCAGGGGCTTGCTTCCCTGGACAGCTAGCCAGGGGCCGGGCAGGTCCTACTCGGACAGGCTGAGGGCAGGAAGGTGGGCAGGCCTGGGCTAACCCGCACTGGCCCCCAGGAGCGGAAGCCCACCTTCCTCCCAGGGACTTGGGGGCAGCGCAGCCAGAGGAGATGCGGGGTGGGGGACAACACCTGACGCACACCGAGGGTCCATGCTGACCTCCAGGCCGGGCTTTGTGGAGACTGCTCCTCCTCACTGAAGACTCCCACAAGCACCTACTGTGTGCCAGCTGCCTGCCATGCGTCACCCCACTTAGCCCTCATGACACCCCCGTGAAGGAGGGATGCTCCCCATTCCCATTTTTCAGATGAAGAAACCTAGGCTCAGAGAGGTGAATTCACTTGCCCCAGGTCACAGAGCTGGGATAGGTGATCCCATTTCCCATTCTATCAGACGGGAAGAACATTCTTTCCTCACCCTGCCCCCAGGAGACTGAGTTCAAACTCTGGACCAGTTTTGCTGTGTGACCTTGGCCAAGCGGCTCCACCTCTTTAAGCCTCAGTTTTCTGATCGGCCAAGTGGTAATTAGCTCAAGCAGATGAACTTCAGGGACCAACTGCAGAAGCATGTGGGATGAACCAAATTACTGAGCTGAGGGCTGAGGACCATAGTCTTGACGGACATCTAGCTCAATTGGCATAACAGCATTAAGAAAATGTTTTACATCCTACTTTGGTGAGGAGCGTCTGGGGTCTTAAAAGCTTGTGAGCAGCCATCTAAGATACTCCACTGGTCCCACCCCTTCTGGAGCAAGGGAGAATGAAGAAAACCAAAGACACAAGGGAAAGATTAGTCCAAAGGACTAATGGACCACAAGTACCACAGCCTCCACCAGACTGAATCCAGCGCAACTAGATGGTGCCTGGCTACCACCACTGTCTGCTCTGACAGGGATCACAATAGAGGATCCCGGACAGAGCTGGAGAAAAATGTAGAACAAAATTCTAACTCACAAAAAAAGACCAGACTTACCGGTCTGACAGAGACTGGAGAAAACCCGAGAGTGTGGCCCCCAGACACCCTTTTAACTCAGTACTGAAGTCACTCCTGAGGCTCACCCTTCAGCCAAAGATTAGACAGGCCCATAAAACAAAATGAGACTAAATGGGCACACCAGCCCAGGGGGAAGGATGAGAAGGCAGGAGGGGACAGGAAAGCTGGATGAATAGAAATGGGGAACCCAAGGTCTAGAAGGGGGAGTGTTGACATGCCATGGGGTTGGCAACCAATGTCACAAAACAGTATGTGTATTAATTATTTAATGAGAAACTAATTTGCTCTGGAAACCTTCATCTAAAGCACAATAAAAATAACTTAAAAAAAGAAGCAGCAACGTGGGAGATGATACGTGTTCAGGAAAATACAGGTTTCTCTGAACACCAAGAGTCACACACGCCCACACACCACTCCCTGCTCTGGGCTGCAAGCCTGGCATGAGAGAACCTCAGGGTGCCTGGGTGGGAATAACTGTGAGGATGAGGATGTTCCTGCCTTTCCCTGGCCCTCAAACAAGCCCCGCACCCTCTGCAGGGGCAGAACTTACGCGATCCTCCGGCTGTGCGCACTGCTGAAGCCCGCGAAGGAGGCACTCCGACCCACAGTTCCCACGGCCCCTGCGTCCCCAGGGGACAGGAACCGCACCCTCACCGACATGGCTGTCACCTGCAGGGAGAGGACAGAAGAGTCAGCCTCACACTACCACGTAGAGAGTGCTCTCTGCAGCCAGCGCCTCCTGGGCCTTACAACAGCCCGAGAGGCATGGCTGGTACTGTCCCAGCTTACAGATGAGAAAACTGAGGCTCAGGGAGTGGCAGGAGGGGATTCGAACCCAGGTCTCTATGCTCTGCACTCGAAATGCTGCCTCCAGTTACTCCCAATCTTCCACAGCTACTCCTCTCCGCCGCTGATGCTCACCCTCACAGTGCAGGCTCCCCTCTCTACAAGCCCTCCCAGAGCACCTACTGTGCACCTGCCCTCCAGGGCCCCAGTCCCCCCAAAAAAACCAAACATGTTGCTGTCAATTCCGACTCACAGCGACCTTGTAGGACAGAGTAGAAACTGCCCCATGGAGTTTCCAAGGAGTGGCTGGTGGGTTGAACTGCCGACCTTTTGGTTAGCAGCCGAGCACTTAACCACTGCACTGCTAGTGTTCCTAGTCCCCAGGGAGGTGACAAACCACCAGACAACTACACAAGGAGACTTTAGCGAAGTGACTTGCTAATCACCTAGCCAGCCATGGGGAGGCCACCAAGAGCCCAGGCCAACAGCTGAGGATGAGTTAGCCAGGGAAAGGGGAGGGCAGGGGGTCGGAGGCAGAGGGAACAGCACGGGCAAAGGCCCGGAGGTACACGAGGACTCGGTGTAATCAGAAACAGGGAGAACTCAGAGAAGCCTGCAGAGCACAGGTCATGAGAGGCCCTGGTAGCCCCAGGGAGGGGTTTAGGCAACTGGGAAACCCTGGTGGCATAGTGGCCAAGTGCTACAGCTGCTAACCAAGAGGTCGGCAGTTCAAGTCCACCAGGCGCTCCTTGGAAACTCTATGCGGCAGTTCTACCCTGTCCTATACGGTCACTATGAGTTGGAATTGACTCGACGGCAATGAGTTTGGTTTTTGGTTTTTGAGGGCAACTAGGAGCCATGGGAGGGTTTTGAGGCAGACTGCTGGCATCCCCTGATCCACCTCGCTGTCTCTGATCACGGCTGCAGTGAGGCCGGCCCAGAACTCTGGCTGTCTTCTCTTCTTTCCAAACCATCTCTAGATTGGAAAAAATGCCACCATATCCCTTGAGATTATAGCCCAGTGTCTTCCAGCATGTACAGCTGGAAAGTTCTCTGCCATATCTAACCTAAATCTCTCCTGCTTCGGTTTCATACCTTGCTCCTCAGCCAGGGCGGTGTCAATCCTGGGATTCCAGGGACCCCACTGCCCAGGCCAAAGCTACAAAAGCTCCACTCCACCAACTCCCTCGTATACCTGCCCAGAACAACCTTCTCTGTCGAGCCACGTCTGCCAATGCCCAGTCATGCCCTCTGGTATTTTTGGATTTTGGTGTTGTATGTTTTTAAATTGTATTGTAGTAAACATAACATAAAAGTTGCCATTTTAACCATTTTTAAATGTACGTCTCAGTGACATTAATTACATTTACAATGTTGTACAATATCAGCCACCATTTCTTTACAAAACTTTTCAACACCCCAAACAGAAACTCGGAACTCATAAAGCAGTAACTCCTCATCCCCTCCTCCCCCCGGGCCACGGTGACCTCTAATCTACTTTCTGACTCTACGCATCTACCTATTCTGGACATTTCAGAGAAACGAGATCATACAATATTCGTCCTTTTGTGTCTGGCTTCTTTCACTCCGCACAGTGTTTTCAAGGTCCATCCGTGATGTACCGCGCATCAGAACTTCATCTCTCTTTATGGTTGAATAATATTCCCCTGCATGTATATACCGCATTCGGTTTATCCGTTCTTCTTTTGGTGGGCCTTTGGCCTGTCTCCACTTTCTGGCTATTGTGCATAACACTGCAGTGAATGTGGGTGTACAAGTATCTGCTGGAGTCCCTGTTTTCAATTCCGTTGGGTATATACCTAGGAGTAGAATTGCTTGGTCATCTGGTAAATTCTGTTTAACTTTTTAAGGAACTGCCGAACTGTTTTCCACAGCAGCTGTATCATTTTACATTCCCACCCGTCACGCACAGGGGTTCCAGGTTCCCCACATCCTCACAAACACTTGTTATTTTCGTTTTTGTCTGTTTGTTTGTAATAGTCATCTTCCGGGGTGTAAGGTGTATCTCACTGTAGTTTTGCTCACCCTGTTTTTAACTGGCCCCCTCTGGGGGCTGCGCAGTCCTCACTCTGAGCCCCCTAGCAGATGTATCAGCCCCCACAAGCCTTCTCCTCCCGTATACCCCTTGCGCCATAGCCCCATGTGCACTGCATGTAGGAGGAATCTTGGAAACAAGAAAAGCAGACCTGGGTTCAAATCCCGCTGTGCCACTTACTGGCCGTAGGCCTCAGTAGTCACATCTGTAAAATGCAGATTCAGAAAAGGACCTCCCTTGGAGGCTACTGCGGGGACCCAGGGGACAATGTTCTGATGGGACGTGGTGCACGGGAGACCCTCAGGAAGAGTGAGTGACTCTGCGCAGCTGGCTGACCAAGACCCCAACCCTGGAGGGGAGCCAGGCTGGCCCGGTCCCGAGCGACTTCCAGCCCTGAGGGAAGGTGACACACGTTTGCAGCGTGGCAAGCCCTGTGCCAGGGGCTGTAACTTGCTGTAAATCCACAAACAACAACACTGTGCACAGAAGGGGAAGTGGAGGTAAGCCTCTGAATGGAGGCGCTGTTTACTGAGTGCCCCATATCAAGCCAGCCCTGCCCTACTGGCCCAGCCCTGCCCTAAAATGCTTTATGTAAATTATCTTATTAAGCCCACACAACCCCTTTAGGAGTAGGAGCTAGTGCTAACCTAATATTATAGATGAGGACACCGAGGTTCCGAGTGACAGTACTTGCCCAAGGAGCCCCACCTAGGAAGCTGCAGAGCCAGGTTTGAACTCAAGAGTATCTGATGATGACACAGCACTTGTTACTGCCCATGGTCTCACCTGGTGTCAGGGAGGCCAGCACTCGGGGAGTTTACCCCAGCTCCACGGGAGGTCCCCACAGCCCCCCACTTGTGCTGTGTTGGAGCCAGCTCGTATCAGCTCAAAGAGTCACTTGTTAAATTTTCAGGAATTTTGTGAGCAGTGTGACATCATGTGGGTAGCCTGAAATCAGCCACTGTGGCGTAGCTACACCATGAAAACTAGCAAAACGACAGAGCTTTTTCCCTGCTGGTTGTCGAACATTTACTAGCACATAGCTGCCGCCACCACCTCCATCAGCACACGCTCCGGTGGCCCTGGGAACCCTTTCAAACTACTCCACCGCCCAGCCAAGGTGGGCAAGGGAATTAGGAGGTGGCAGGGAGGGGCAGCGTCTCACTTGGATCCTGAGGTCAGTGGTCAGGATGTGGGCCCTGGGGAAGAGGCCGAAGTCAGCAGAGAAGGAAACAGACTGACCAGAGGAGCTCAGCGCTGGAGAGTGCTCCCCCTGCCCCTTCCCACCCCGCCCTCTGTCCCCCCATCC